CACATAAGGGCGTTTACACACAGAAGTTTTGACACAGAGAAATCTTTATAATTTTTCACTCGCAGAAGCTTTTACAAACAGACGCTTTTACATAGAGAAGTCTTTACGCAAAGAAGCCTTTACACGCAGAAGCTTTTACACACAGAAGCTTTTACACAGAGAAGTCTTTACACAGAGGCGCTTTTACACGAAGTGGAAAATGGAAATTGGCAGCAATTCTTTAGGAAAAACCCTTCGCAGGAGCTTTCGGGAACAAGCCTTCCCCACTTGCTCCAAGAAAGAACCTGCCGATTTCCAACAAAATTCCAACTCCATGATTCCATGAATATGTTCAACTAGACGACGGATGGCCCGAGAGCGTAGAGGAGCAGGGTCTTCTCTTGTTAATATGGAGACACCATATTACAAAACAATATATTAAAGATGTGTTATAGGCATACGAAAAGAGGAGTATCAAGACAATATAGCACAAGTACAAGACAATAGTTTGCATCGCAAACACTTTTACACACAGACACTTGTACACACGGATGCTTTTACACACAGACGCGTTTACGCACAGACGCTTTTACACACAAACACTTTTACACACAAAAGCTTTTAGCCACAGAAGCCTTTACACACAGAAGCTTTTACACACAGACGCTTTTACACACAGAAGCTTTTACACACAGAAGCTTTTACACGCAGACGCTTTTACGCACAGAAGCTTTTACACACAGACGGTTTTACACACAGACGGTTTTACACACAGACACTTTTACACACAAACACTTTTACACACAAACACTTTTACACACAGACGCTTTTACACACAGAAGCTTTTACACGCAGACGCTTTTACACACAGAAGCTTTTACATACAGACGCTTTTACACACAGACGGTTTTACACACAAACACTTTTACACAGAAACACTTTTACACACAGGCGCTTTTACACAGACGGTTTTACACACAAGCCCTTTTACGCACAATCACTTTTACACACAGACGCTTTTACACACAGAAGTTGGCCAGCCCGTAGCTGGCTTAAAACGTGGGCTGGGAGGGGGGGGGCGGTGCACGGAAGGTGCTGGAAAATGAAAAAGTGGTGCTGGAAAAAAAAAATGTGGGGAAAATGTGGTGTTCAAAATCAAAAAATTGGTGTTTGGGCCTGGTGTTTGATCATCCTTTTGTGGTGTTAAAAACGCCTTTTTGTGGTGTTAAAAACGGCTAAGTTTGGTGTCAAAATTGTGGTTTTAGGGGTGGAGGATGTCAAAAACAAACCAACCAGTCCCAACATATGGGAAGTCAATGCTCAGGAGAAACCAAATTGCAGCCACCATTATCTACTGCAATGTTCTATTGCTACAACTTGAACTGCAATATGTTAACAGTTTACAACAAGGAACACCCCCCTGTGGGAACACAGCCGCAACCCTTTCGCTCTGGCCCAACATGACCAAATTCTACCCGGATCCAGAAGATGCTGTGAAACCGTGAAACTGTTCAAGTGAAACTGCCGGGCTTTCGGAAGCTTGAAATTGGAAACAAAACCTGTGACCCAACTGGCCCAACAAACCTGTTGACTCAATGGCACAGAACTATCATCAGAATCCGCACTCTCGGAAGCGGAATCTTCAACAGATGAGAGCGCAGGTAATTTTCCGTTTGGTTTGGGATTTTAGGTCGCGCCCTTTTTCTCTGTTTTTGGGATCCTTTTTGGGCGCAAAAAGGGCGCGCTTTTTAACCCCTTTCGAAGTGCCAATCCAATGGGAAAATTACCAAAAAGCCTAGGAGATTGGGAAGGGTTTGGTCTGGTTTCAGCCGGTTTCAGCCCGAAACAGCGCGTTTTTTTGACACCCAAAACCTTGAAATTTGACACCTAAATTTCCTCAAATCGGCACCGGATTTTGCGAATCGGGAACCCGTCGGGAACCAGTCGGGAACCCGGGAAAATCCGCGCACCGCCCCCCAAGGCATGACAAATGCTAAAAATGCATGGTTTTTCACATTGTTTTGGCCGTTTTTGGGAAAAACCCTGCAAAAAGAGGCAAAAATCGACCAAACAAGTGCCAAAACTCTGCAAAAACCAGCATTTTTGTGCCTTTTGAGGCGGTGCACGGATTTTCCCGACTGGTGACTGGTTCCCGACTGGTTCCCGACTGGCTCCCGACTGGTTCCCGACTGGTTCCCGACTGGTTCCCGATTTCCAAAAAGTGGTGTTGGAATTTGCCGAAAGCGGTGTCAAGTTTTGGCCCGAAATTTGCGAATTGGATGATTTCTTATGTTGGGAAGTGTTTTGGTGGTTTTTGGGGCGGGTGGGGCTAGTTTTGGGGGTGTGTCAGGGGGGGGTTCCGGTGGTGGTTTTGGGGTGGCTGGGGCGGGGGTTTGGGGTTTTGGGAAAGTTTCTGGTGATTTTTGGTGATTTGGAAAGATGGGGGAAGATTTTTGGGGATTTGGAGGGTTTGGAAAGATTTGGAGGGGTTTGGAGGGATGTTGAAGGGTGGAATGATTTCTGGTGATTTTTACCGCTATTTGACGCCTTTGGTGAGCACTGGGATGGTTTTTTATTTTTCGAAAAGTGGAAATGCATTGCCATGTTGGTAAAGCCCACTCAAAGCCATGTCAAACACGGCAGAGGGCACTTACACGGTGCCTATCATTTTTTCGTCTTGAGCCTGTGTGTAAAGTTGTAGTCATGTGAATATTGATGATAACACGAAGCCGAAGACGGCCTGAAAAACAATAATCTGTTTAGATATCCCCTGAATGGCTTTAAAGGTTTGGCCAGTTTTTGGTGCAAGGGGGAAAATAAAACACACATCGTTGACTTCACCACCTCCATGCTTCCCTGGCAACTTCATGGAAACCCTCAAGAAGTTTCATCAAAGTTTCCGAACCCCAAAAAATGCATTCTGAACCCCAAGAAATGGATTCTCAGCACCAAGTTTTCACCAAAAAATTGCAATTTGACACCAAAAAAGGGGTTTTTCAACACCAAATTTCTTGTTCCGGGCACCGGCTAGTCGTTGCACAAAAAACGGCCAGACCCACCCTTGCACCAGGTTTGCACCAGTCGTGCACCAATACCCCCCCCCCCGAGCACCAAAAACTGGCCAAACGTTTTAAGCCAGCCAGGGGCTTGGCAACACAGAAGCTTTTACACACAGACGCTTTTACACACAGACGATTTTACACACAGACGCTTTGACACACAGATGCTTTGACACTCAGATGCTTTTACACACAGAAGAAATTGCAATTTTACCTCAGCTTTTGGCGATCGAACCTCATTTCGTGCGAAAGTGTTGCGCCGGACACTTTGAAATCGCTTTTTATCCTCAGTTTTTGGCGATCGAACCTCATTTCGTGCGAAAGGGTTGCGCCGGACACTTTGAAATCGCAATTTTACCGCAGTTTTTGGCGATCGAACCTCATTTCGTGCGAAAGGGTTGCGCCGGACAAGTTGAAAACGTAATTTTATCTTCAGTTTTTGGCGATCGAACCTCATTTCGTGCGAAAGGGTTGCGCGGGACACCTTGAAAACGCAATTTTATCCTCAGTTTTTGGCGATCGAACCTCATTTCGTGCGAAAGGGTTGCGTTTCGTCCCGTCTTGTTGCCACTGCCCCTGCCCCCGCCTTCAAGAGAGAAATAGAAAAGAAGAAGGCAAGAGGGCAAGAGGGCAAGAGGGCAAGAGGACAAGAGGACAAGAGGGCAAGAGGGCAAGAGGGCAAGAGGGCAAGAGGAGAAGATGTGAAGATGAGAAGATGTGAGAAGATGTGAGAAGATGTGAGAAGATGTGAGTGGAGGTGTGAGAAGATGTGAGAAGATGTGAGAAGATGTGAGAAGATGTGAGAAGATGTGAGAAGATGTGAGAAGATGTGAAGATGTGAAGATGAGAAGATGTGAAGATGAGAAGATGTGAAGATGAGAAGATGTGAGGATGAGAAGATGTGAAGATGAGAAGATGTGAAGATGAGAAGATGTGAAGATGAGAAGGTGTGAAGATGAGAAGATGTGAAGATGAGAAGATGAGGGATGAGGAGAAGATGTGAGGATAAGAAGATGTGAAGATGAGAAGGTGTGAAGATGAGAAGATGTTTTACAGACCCCCACTATTGGAAGAACCCTGCGCTCAGACGCTCTCGGGAAAAAAACATAAGGAAATATATTTCTGAAGCAGGTCCTCATTCAATAGCTTTCAAGCCCACCCTGCGATGAAATCGAGGGTCACGTAATCTGGCGGAGCCGACGATGAGCATCAGATCTACAATCCGGCAATGCCTCGCCGTGGGTAGGTGCAGCTACCGCTAGCTTTAGCTACCTGGGGGCGCGCCCCTGCCGCCGACCCCCAAAAAAACCTTCACTCTGGTGGTGTTTTCACGTTTTTCGGGGTCCGGGGTGGGAAGAAAAAAAAGACGATAAAATTACAAGACGCTTTTTGGAAGTCAATTTTGGGCACTTTTTAGCGGATTCTTGCTATTTTTTTGGTGCTCGCGAAGAGCCAAAACAATATAATTTACAATGTGTTGCGCCTTTGGCATGGGAAAAAATATTCTTGCACATGCTGAAAACTGCGTAAATAACAATGTTTTTGCTAGGCGCGGGCCAAAAAATAGTGTCAAGAAAATGCAAAAACACCACCTATGTGACGATTTTGAGGGGCCCGCAAAAATGCGAAAATAAGATGTGTTCCAAGGATAACAAGAACAAGAAGAAGAAGAAGAAGAACAACAACAACAAGAAGCATAAACATACGACAAAAAGATGTGCTACAAGCTGCGGTATGAAAGGCACATCAGCATACTGTGCTCTGCACCTGCGCGCACACGCCGAGCACATGAACAACACCAACGCTCACACTACTATACGTAACCCTTATGACTTATGACATCGCCGGTGCGCGAAGCTCTACAATATCTACATCATTTTACATCATTTTTCCTTTCCTTTTTTGCGACGCTTGAATATCTTGGGCTGGGTCTTGATATGTCAAAATCTCTTAGGCCTTGGCGGTGCCAATTCCCCTGGCTTCTGTGACTTCGTCGCTTTCGGGGATGCTGCAATTCTGTTGCCTTAGGGCAACATACGGCTTTGACAATATCAGGAAGCACTGAGAAACAACGAGAGACACCAATGGTGAACACTCTTACGCCTACCTATCCCTAACTATCCCTGACTTGTGTCGACTTTCTTTCAAATGGGATTTGTCATCCATCTTCATTGTTTTTCATTTGGCATTTCCCGCATCTGTGTTGTTAATGTTTCTACTAAACATCATGAAATCAAATTTCGCACGCCAGCCATCAGCCCAGCAATCACCAGCAATTTCCTTGCAAGGCCAATGGAACTACAACAGCTTTCATGGCAACTTCAAATGATTCAAATGGAAGCGGAAAGAGAGCGACCCATCGATTTAGTGAATAAGATCAGTAGTAGCATGAAGCAAATATATTCACGTGGTAAACCCAATAATCAAGCGCCAATTTTGAAGGCATGTTTGTGCCATCCGTTCTTGTATTTTCGGGATGCTTCAAAAAATGAGGTAGGCACCACGCTATACCCTTATTATACATGGGGAATATACAGTATGTATGTATGTATGTGTGTGTATATGTGTGTGTATGTATACATGCATGCATGTTTGTTTGTCGGAAGAGAATGAAAACAGGAGTCAGTTGTAAAGAATAACATCAAATTTTTAATTCTTGAAGACAGGTGCCACCTCACATTTGGGAATTAATTTGGGTATGTTTTTTTTGTGTATGTGCGTGGTGAACCAAGCACACAGAACTGAATGGGAATTAAATCTGGGTTTTATTCCTGCTTTTTTTGCGACGCGAATTACTGAAGCAGCAACTATTCATATGGCCCATATGGTGCTATTTGTTTCATAGGAAAATTGTCATTGAATCAATGACAATTTAACTCGTGGATTTTGAAGTTAACGTGGATGCACCTTCAGGCTGCAAGATCGGTTGTATCATTTCTATGTCTTCGAATGTGTTTGCAGATGCAGGATTTAAATCTGGTCTTTATTCTGTGAGATTTGGACCAATATCCCAGAGTTTCCTTTCTCAAAGAATTAAATTCTAATTTCGTTTCTCTCCAGGCCCCGGTGCCGGTGCCTTCCAAGGGCTTTCCAAAGACCCGCTAAGAAGCGCCTACTGTGTCGAAATGTTTCTCCATTCTGAAAGCGATGACGTTTGCCCGAGTTAACAGGTGGACATCCAGAAGTCCAAAAGACCCTCCCTGGGTTCTTGAAAAGAAACATCAATCGACCACAAAGTTTCAGCATGCACCGCAAGCCCCCAGACCCCCTGTATCAGTGTTGCTACCCATTGCTTCTCAATGACCGGGGCAAGAATGGCTGTTTTTTGAAGGCTCCGCCAAGCACTGCTTTCACACAACATTGAACTTGGGTGCCAGGGGTGTCTAACTGTCCTCGCTAGGATTCAAGTTGGTTGGCTGCTTTCTTTGGAAGAACCCGGTCAGCCCACATTCTTGCCATTTCATTGGTACCCGCCCACAAACGGCTGCAAGAAACCTTTGGGAATAAACTTTGGATTTAACTCCACTACCTTCAG